TCTCCGACTTTTCGCAGTCTGCCTCAGTCCCCCAACAGCCTGCGCGGCCCTTGGTAACCCGGGCGACGACGGAACCGGTATAATTTCCGATGGCGTCAATACCATGAGTGGAAGGTGGCTGAATTTTATGGAGACTTTCCATGGTCTCCAACCCTCCTCCTTTCTCATCCGGGCCTGGGAACGGCAACGGCGGAGTTAAGTCAGACGATACGATCATCAAATCGATCATCGACTTCTGTGCACAAGCTGCTCGGTACCAAGTATACTGATATACTCTTCGATGCTCGAAGAATGTGCTCATAATGGATAGCCCGTTGTTTGCACGAAATCGTAGCGACTTCAAGCCGTTAATGCTGAGATCGCTAGGGCCGTTTTATCTAATCACGTCGTTCCAGTTTTCGGCGTGTTTAAATTGCCCATGAGTCCGTATTTGGCACATTCTACAGGGCATTTCCTTAGGGAAAGAATAATATTCTCGCTTTAAATTGGGATCATAGAACTTTACCTAGGTCAGAGCTTTAGTCTGTTGCAGCTTCAGTCAGAGTATCGTCACCCTTCGGTTGACAGGCTTCTAATCAATGACTCTATCAGCGAGGTTGGGCTCTACGAAAGGCCAACACCAGCCTGAGCGCGGGTCATGATACGGTCAGCTGAGTAGATTAGCTTCCACCCGCACAGGAACAGGATTCCAGCGACTTGACGTTTTGTCGATGAGAGTCCAACAATATCGAGTTGGTACTTCATTGCCTCGTCAACTAACTTTTGGTCTTTCCCTTTAAGTGAGGACATATTCCAATTTCCGACTGTAAGCTCCCACTGATGGTGTCGTTCTCGTGGAGTTCTTGTGGCGTGCTATAATGGCTCCGCGCGGTCTGTCTCCTCCGTTTAGAACGGGTAATGACTCCGTTACTGACTGGAGCCATTCGGCTGATCTTCGTTAGCCGTTGTTGTAGTCATTTGGTCAATCTTCGTTAGGTGTTGCTGTGTTGCTACGCTCCCGCTTCGCAGAGGTGATGAGGAGGTTCTCATCGCCGACGTTTCGGAGCCAGCCTCAGTCCCCAAACAGCTTGCACTGCCCTTAGTACCCGGGGCGACGACCGATCCTGTATGATTTTCGAAGATGTCAGTACCATGAACCGTGAAGGGCACGTGGCAAAATTTTACGGAGACTTCGCGACGGTCTCCAACCCTCGTCCTTTCGTATCCGGGATTGGAACCGGGAACGACGCAGTTAAGTTTGTTTTTAAGAAAAAAATGGAGCAGGCTTTGTTCTTGTAGGCTTTGGTCGAAACGTTGTTGAAACATCGTATTTCCGTTTGAAAAATAGAGGATTTTAAAATACTTACACCTGTAATTGGCTTCAGAAATTCATATGATGCCATATAATGGTGCATTAAATGTATTTTCATTTCTCCTAGTTTCCCTCTCAATAGCGGGCACGTGACCCATGAGGAATTGGAATAAGAAGTCATCTATCTGTCTTAGTTGTCTGGAAACAATGACTAGAAACATATGATGGATTGTTCTTTTGAACAGACATACGTTTCAGACATCGGGTACATTGCATCATTAAAATCAGCCATAACGTAAGCTGTGACATTGGTAGTAAGTAAGGACTCTGATATTTTAGAAAAGTCATGAGGATGTCCTAGAAAAGCTTTTCAGGAGGGTTTCCTTGCAGGAACTTAGTAAAAATAGTCCAGATCATAAAATTTTGTAGCAGATCTGACAATGTTGCGTCTTGGAATATTATCCAAGGGGTTGACCCGCTCGGGCGTGGACCATGACCAGTGTGAGAAAGCCTCCTGAAGTAGCTGCGCTCTACAGCACCACATAATTGCTGACTTTGAACATAAATAAACTCTTTACGGACGTACGCACCTGAGAAAAAGGCAGCATATTTGTAGTCCTGCGGTACGCCCGCAATGTTGTGAAATTGCGGTTCAATGAACCTTCTATTATTCTATAAGACCCGTCACGGTACCCAACATATTCAGACATGGCACACAGTTTTGCCAGATTTCTTTCCCACGGAAACGATGCTTGAAGGAAGTAGTGATCAGTATGGCAGAGTTCTCAAGATGCTGCATTCACTTCGACCGAAAGCTAATTGGTGCGTTGCGCACTTTAACAGGCTCCAGAACGTTGAACGCAAGCGTTAAAAGCGATCTCCATGCTACTTCTTTTCCCTACCTACATTTTTTACCGATCGAAAGGTCAAGCCGTAAAAATCATAGAGTTTTGGTTACTCAAACGGAATATGAAGATCAGACAGGAATAATTTTAATGCTAGACTCTCGAAGCAAAAGTTATTGCTTCAGAGTAAAAAATGGCACGAAATTCTATGAACATTTATAAAAAACATTTAAAGAGAATACTTAAATTCTTCATGCTGGAGTCAAGGTCATCTTCATCAAACTCTTCACAGAGTTCCCCACTGCTCCCCATACAAATTTTATCACAGTTCACACTGCTCCCCATACAAATTTTATCAAACAAAGTGCCGATGTTTTGAATTCTGCCAGATTTGTCTTTAGGGCACTAATGTAATGTAACAGTAAATGCAAAAATGCCGTCAATGTTCTATGAAAGATCATACATATTATAATTTATAAAAGGATGAATTTGAGTAACAAATGTCGTCATTTTAACTTCGAGTAAGCTGCCATAATGTAATCGCTAGAAGATATGAGAATCAAAAGCCGTATCCCCTTCGAGTTCATTTTTGATATTGAACTTGAAATAAAATATTTTGGCACTGCGATAGACATGCTCGTTATTGCTTGGTTGGTTTCAAACAAAAATGAAGAAACATAAAACAGCCTACATGCGAAAGAGTGGAATGTTCAATTCCCATTCAGTATGCAATACTTTGGCAAAGAGGATTTCATTTCAATATGTTAAATTGTACACACATCAAGATGAATGTGTACGCCGGGATATGGCACATTCCTCCTCCAAAATGAAATTTAACTGTGCTCTGCGCAATCTCCTTTTACATAACGACCTATGTGGCTATTTAAGCAGGCAACAGCACCGCGATATTTGAGCATCTGCAGTGCCAGATGCATCTTGCATCATTATGTTTGTTGATTGCGAGTGGCTCCAGTCACCTAGACGCGTAAGCCCACATACCTTGAAACGCTGTGTGCTTGTTCTACTATTTTAATCTCATAAGTTTGTTTCTTTCGATTGTTTTTTTTTAGCAGAGTTGTTCA